TTTGGTGCAATGTAAATAAGCTTGATCACTTTGTATATCATAGAGACTGCATCCAGTGTACATGGTGGCCAATTCGTTGGGAGATTGGTACTCTCAGTTGGAGTATTCCAGTATTGACGTTTCAAAGCAAACTGTTGATTCTTCACGGTCAACCGGTGTTGCAAACCCTGCAACCAAATATTTGTCGATTATTCTTTCATCTAGCCTCACGTGGCACGCACTAGCATATCGAAATTGTGTCGAATCGATGCTGCAAAGCATAGGAAGTTTTATGCCTTAAGTACAGCTATTATTAACTTTGTCTTTACATACATTATTCTCCCTATGTACATCTACGCAGCAGTTGTCAACCTGCAACTTTAAAACATTAAGAACGTCAGTTTGGCAAATTTGCCTCTACACACAGTGGCCTTCTGTGCATGGACTTGCCCCTGCGTGTCGCTGAGTCATGTTAAGCAGTCGTGGTTGATTTATGAATGCGCAATAATATACTGTATATCCTGATTCGTCCTGTTCATGACAGGTTTTGTCAGTGCCTGTCATGCAGCGTGTCTACCTGATCCAGATGCGTTCATGTTGCTTTATATGTTTGCTTGTCGGAGGTTCATAAAAAAAGATTGTTCATCCCAACTTCAACACAATTTCTCAGAAACTGCAACGTAGTGAAACGACATTAGTCAACAATGCTTAATATAATATTGTTTGTTTTTTGAATGAGGTGACGACTGTACCATGCTGTTCGCAGTTACTATTTTTTTGTTGTTTTCTGGACGATTTTAGCTTTTTGTTTCTTTTTCATCTTGATGAGAAATGTTCTTTCTGTGTGATAAGTTTCAAGCAGTCGGTAACTTCAACAACTTGTACTGCGTGAATGAATTTATTAAGAACTGCAATTTTCAGTAGCGTGCACAATGAAATAAGTAAGTTAGAAAAGTATAATCTAGAGTCAGTTACAGAATACCGAAGAATAGGATAACCATTCGCATGATTATGACAGAACAGGCGCATCTACAAAACTATTTAACACGGAGAATGGTCAGTTAATGCTGCCTAATTTGCGATCGCGCCGAATGTGCACTGATGCTGGAATAGCAGGTTTACGGTAAAGCTTTTTCCTGTCGTAATGACATATCGTGATTTAATGTATGTACTACGCGACAGACACTGTGCTAAGCTATCATGCAAAAGACGGACCCAGTCGGTAAGGAATTGTTTCCAGGGCGAATATTGTATGTCACAGATTCGGCAACGACGCGTATATGAAGTATTAATGAGAGGCAGACCCACAAAGTTTTCTTGATGGCCTTGAAATTACAATTCAATAAACCAGAAACACTGTACCTGCCCTATAGGTAAAAAGAAAAAGTGTATTTTTGATAAATGGGCAAGTCTGCTATCATTACGCAGCGGTACTGTTATAAATTGTAATACGTTAATGGAGCACTGGTAAATATTCAACGTCTGGGAACTTGGGAAGCTTTGTGCAGAGAAGTGGACAAACAAGACGAAAATGTGCAAAAATAAACTTTGCTATGCTGGCATGTAAATTAAATCATTTCTCTCCGAACGACTGCGTGCATTATCATTTATTTAATTCTGAGCATGATAATAACAGGAGAGTACTATCGATCGAGTGATTCCCGGCTACTCGATTTATTATACCTACGTAACTGATTTGTGACCGGTGTCCAGAATATGTGCACATTTGTATCAATATTTCATTAATGCATAGCTGCCACAGCACTTTCGCTTTAGGCGAGATTTTATCCGTCATTCTTTTTATTGGAGCTGTCACTTTGTACACTTTTTTTGAACTTTCATTGTTCTCAGTTTGAAGTCATAGTCTTGTCATCATTTTTTTATTGACGTGAGTTTTAATTTTTTACTCCTTCCATACTCATCGTTGAAGAACTCGTTTATGTTTGTAATAAAGTACTGTGTTCTATCATAGTATTTTTAGCCGCACACTTGACCCTTGCGTTAGTGCGAAGAAGCGATCGCTTTTATATGATGTGTAGTACCGGCGGACAAAGCGTTTTTCTGCGGCGATGGTGGTAAGTGGATAAATGACTAGACGTTGTTTTGTCGGCGGCGCCGGCGATATCTGATAGGTTCGGAATGATCAATGCATAAACCTCTCCTATCGCCTTTGTTCCATTCGGCGTTGACCGCTGGCCGCTGGCCGCTGGCCACGCCTATCGTTTCGTCGCCGTTCACAAAGCCGGTATGAATGGAAATCGTCCGTGTTTCAGGGATCGCTGTTGCAATTGGTGGTCATCGAATGGTCATACTAGCCGCTGTTGTTGCCTCACGTGGTCAGCGAAACGTGACGGTTTCCGTCGCGACTGGCATCAACATTTTTACCTCCTGTTTCTCTCACTCGGCGATAGACGAACCCTCTCTCTGCCCCGGCATTCTCCTTGTCATAACGCTGCTGTTTTTCTGTGACGTTCGCCTGATTTGGCCACCAAGCGTTTTTCGCCACGACTGGCCTTCACGCTCGAAAGCTGACCAACCGACCGATCGACCCACCGACTGACTGCCTTGCAAATCTTGACGTCGTCGCTGCCGTTGTTGTTTGTCATATTATGACCTTTTTAAAGTCGATTTTACCTGACCGCTTTCAGCGATGGTAGGTAAATTCGGCCTTCAGTTGGTCTTCGTGATTCATTAGTCATTATCCTGTCAGTTTTTAGATGTTTATTGTAAGCACGAAGGCCAAACGTATTTTACAACGGGTATTTTTGCGCTCTAATGTTGTAATATCCAAAGATAACCTGAGCAGATTTGCATCGCCTCTTGTCTTTTGTTCGATGATGTCTGATCAATTTTCCTTATTTGGCTAGTTGGACAAATTTTCCTCTCCACCGTCGGTTTCAGTGCTCTTATTTTCGTATGACATTTACGCTTTTATGTCACATCTTTACGTTTTAACTGTGGTCCAGCTCCTTACTTCCCTTCTTTATTCTGTGCGTAATGAGAAGAAATCGATTAGCAAAGTTAGAATAAATGTGTTCGTAAACTTATATACAATCGACAGTAAGCGTATCTTGAATCCGGCTTTCGACATCACAAACAGAAACCATCAGCCAGCGATTGCAGAAATATCGGTATTACAAACATGAAATTATTTTTTTTGATAAACGATTATTCATAAGTATAAATTAAAATTTTTGATTTGAAGCCGTTGCTGAAATTTCAAAACATGTATATGTTAACAATAAGAAGCAAATGGTTAGAAGGTTAAAAAATAAATAAATAAATAAATCTTTGTGTAGTCATGAATGATGATATTCTTTCTGCAAAAATTAATAATTATTGATTTGGATAATACGAGTAAACGGCGTAGTCACACCGTCCCCATCCTTGCCGGGTAGTTTAAGCACGCAACGGTTCCATGGTATTTTAGCATCTGCAGTGTGTGGGTGCCAAACAGTATCAATTTATGGAGTCGACCAAAAACATGTTCGAACAGAAACGGATATATCTCGGTCAGGCATGTATATTAAAGACATATGTAATAGTAGGTTTATATATAATAAAAAATCTCTTTCCTTTCGACCAGCTGCGAAATGGTTATCAGA